CTATGGCATCATCATTCTCCACGGCATTAACAATGTCTTTGGAGACCTTCGCCTGCATCCAATAGAAAAATGAATGCTTATCACCTCGAGCCATAACCATGCTTGTGAGTTTCCATTTACCTCCTCCAAATAGACTATAGAAACCCTCATCATCAAGTTTTCCTGTAGAGATCAAGTTCAACCGAATATTTGGGACATGCTTAACTCCCTTAAGCAAAACTCTAGTACCAACACTAGTCTCCAAGCAAATATCACCAATGCCAGCAACCTTGGCCACTGCATCATTACCCATCTTCACAGAACCATAACTACCTGGAGTATAGGTAGTGAACAAATCCCGCTGCGATATAGCATGAGTAGTAGCTCCACTATCAACAACCCAACTAGTGTCCTGGCATGCAACATTAATGGCATCACTCTCAAGAAGAATAAGAAATTGATCTTCGGTGACAATCACCCGATCTTCACCATCTTCTTGCTTCTTTCCAAGTTTGCTATCCTTTTTCAACTTCCAACAATCCTTCTTCATGTGCCCTTTCTTATGACAATAATGGCACTCCAAGTTAGCAAATTTGTTAGATTTGCTCCTACTCCTGTTCTTGTTATTCATGGGCTCTCTATATGAAATCCTCCCCCTTGACTCAGAAACCATTACATCTGAACGCGAGAAACTAGGACTAGACTTCCTCCTTACTTCCTCATTCAAGACACTGTTCTTCACTAAGTCCATCGAATCACATCATTCAACGCGGAGTTACAAAGAGACATCGTGAACACCTTCCAAGAATCTGGTAATGTACCAAGAAGCCACAAACCGTGAGTCTCATCCTCAAACTTAATTCCCATGTCAGATAATTTATTGAGCAATCCCTGAAACGCATTCAAGTGATCCGCCTTCGGAGTTCCCTCCTGGTACCTCAGCTAATCAATTTCTTGATCATGTACATCTTATTATTCCCGATCTTCCGAGCAAACATCTTGACGTAACGGAAGCTAGATAGATGCAAGGATCTTATTTAGTCTGAGAATATCTAAGATCAATGCCTTCCTGGATTCGATGAGATCTCCCTGGATCTACCGAAAACAAGGGTTCGAGAATACTCTTCTCTGAAAAGCACAAAGCTCTATAATTTTATTAATCAATCAACTGAATATAAAAGGAGGCCTCTAGGGCTTATTTATAAGAAATCCTAAAACCCCTAAGAAAGCTCTGGAATATTCTAGAAACTCTAAGAGATAAACACCAAAATAAATAATATAATTAAAATATAAATAAAAGGGAATTATCCTAATTCTACGTTGCATCAGGTCCCGCCGGCCATGAAAGATTCGTCCTCGAATCTTGTACTTATGCTGCA